CTCTGAAACTATTCTGCCCACCATCCCTAACCCCCCCACTCCCCCCCCCCCCACAAAACTCTATGCTTGGAAAATAGTCAGTCTATAATTTTTATTAAGTCAGTATTTACTGTTTGCATTGTCTTGGTCACCAAAAAATTTCACAGCTAAGCCAGTAGTATACAATGACTATATTTCCATTCTTTAAAACATTTTATTTAGTCCTTGCCGGTGGGCTCAATTGGTCGGCGCTTACACCAGGAGCTGGCGGGTTCTATTGTCAGTCAGGGCACATACTCAGGTTTCGGGTTCAATCTCCAGTCAGGTGCATGCAGGAGGCAACCAATCCTTACCTGTCTTATATACGTATAGTGTTAAGAAATCTAATATTGTTCAGATTCCCAATACCTAATATATATTTTATTTTTTCTTTCTCTGATAATATTTACGATCATTTGTTTACTTCTAAATTTCTGAAATTTCACAATGTTTCTTGGTGTGATCTATTTCTGTTCTTTGTATTATTGGATATTCCATGGATTCTCTTCAATCTTAAAACTAAGTTCATTAGTTCTGAGAAATTATCTGGCATTCTTTTTCTTTGAAACATTTCTCCCATTAGTTTTCTCTGAAATGCTCCATAGAAATGTGTTTCCAATGTGTGACCAATGAGTTTTCAAGTTGTAAGTAATTCTCTGGAGCTTATTGACGCTTCTGTTATCTTCTCTAAAGAGGTGATTCTAGAATAGTAAAAATCTGAAGCCAAAAAGAAAGAAAGACTTCGCACATAGAGTAGGAAATATATCTCAACTCCCATTTGACCTGGAAATATTGGAAGCAGGAAATTTCCCACAGAGGGCCTCATTCAGGGGGTTCCTCCTCTAGAGGCCCTATCTAATGTTTGCACCATCCCCAACACTACTTGGAAGGAAGGGTCGGAGAAAGGAAGAAAGAAAGAAAGGATTTTTACAAAGACTTTCAAAAGTCAGGACTTTTTTAAAATATATTTTTATTGATTTCAGAGAAGAAAGGAGAGAGAGAGAGAGAGAGAGAGAGAGATCAATGATTCATTGATTGCTGCCTCCTGCATGCCTCCTACTTGGCATCAAGCCTGCAACTGGGGCATGTACCCTATGATCAGAATCGAACCCGGGACCCTTCAGTCCTCAGGCCGATGCTCTATCTACTGATCCAAACCAGCTAGGGCAAAAGTCAAGACTTTTACAAAGACTTCCCAATCTGGATTCTAGTCAATTCAAATGATTTAGAAAATGAAGAAGAATAAAGGGAAGAAGGGAGGGAGGAAGGGAGGGAGGGAGGGAGGAAAGAAAGGGAGAGAGGGAAGAGGGAGAGCGAAAAGGAGGGAGAGTTAATGACCCCCTCCTCTGTGTTAAATTTTCTGTGGCATTTGTGGCCATGGGAGGACTTATTATCCTTGTTTACATGAGTTTCTACCATAAAGTTGTAAGCTTCTTTAGGAAAGGTAGAATACAGTATATTATTTAGGTTTATATTCCCAATGTTTAGCACAGTGTATATGGCACTGAATAAACATTTGTTAATGAGTGATGATGGGCAGACAGTGTTGTCATCAGTTCTACAGTACTGCCAATTTGATTTCAGCCACAAGTCCTTCATTTTTATCACGTTCTCCCAGGCTATAGAATCACCAGGAGTGATTATCACCGGGCTCTTCTTCCTTAGGGACAGTTCACTACCAGGCCAAAAAGTAAGGTATGTGTTTATATCAGCAATAAGTTCAAGGGAAAGCATGATCACTTGATATCAGATATATGTCAGTGATTCTCAATAGAATGTATTCCTTTGATGTCATGTTTAGAGCAATTACAATTAATTTAAAAATAAATTCTATATGCTATGAAGTACTTATTTTATGGAGTGTTAGTGCTACAAAATTAGCCAAAACAATAAATTTGAAATCACTTTGTATCTAAACATCCTATGAACTAATATCACAAACAGTAAAGTTGGACATTTCACAATTATTTTTCAGAAATGTTACATAATTAAAGGTACATACAGTCTCGTGTAATATTAATACAGTGGTATTTGAACACATGCATTTAAGAAGTGAAAAATCCCCATGGAAATTCACTTCATAAAATCAACACCCTGGAATGACCTATACTTTTCCAGATCCTTCATCCAAATCCTCAGCAGCTGAGCTCATTCTGAATGAAATTGCGTAAAAAGGCTTACCCAAAAAATGTAATAGAAATTTACAAAATAAGTAGTCAGTAGTTAAAAATATAATTTTTATTTGTTTTTGTTGATTTCAGAGAGAAGAAGGGAGCAGGAGAAAGAGATAGAAACAGTAATTATGGGAGAGAATCATTTAACGCTGCCTCTTACACAGCCCCTACTAGGGATCAAGCCCACAACTGGGCATGTGTCTTGACCGGAAATCGAACCATGACCTCCTGGCTCATGGGTCAAGGCTCAACCACTAGGCCATACCGGCCAGGCTAGAAATATAATTTTTAATAAGGCATTCTGATGAGGTGGTCCACAGGGAAAGCCAGAACTTTGACAAAGACTTCACATCTTCCTGGCAGGATGGCTTCTAATCAATTCAGATGACTTAGAAAATGAGGCCAATAGGCTGAGACGTGATTGGAAAGAATCCAGTGTTCCATCTCATTAATATTCTGTTCAGCCTTTAGATCATGGAGGCAGATTTTAACATGAATGTTATAACTCCGAATTTAAATAGGAAGTATGAATATGAAAGCTTGTGGAGATAATTTTTTTAAATCTATCAGACCACAGGATATTATGGGATGAGCACTCAAAATGTAGTGATGGTTGTCATAACAATAATTAGGACATTTTTCTTGAAAGAAAAGACAGTGTACATTCACAGGAATAATTTGAAAATAATCAAAAAACCTAGATTAGAAATTAGGACAGAGTAATTAAGACTATGTTGGAAATATCTAATTTATAATCTCTCTTTGTAGCTAGATTGTCTCAGGACTTGTTGAACTGTCTTCCTTTGATATAAAAATATTGACATACTTGCCAAAATTGAGTAAAATAAGTTAGTTAATATTAAGATAAGGTCTTAAAGGCAAAATTTAGTGTAATCTCTTCTCTAAGGGGTTAATAAAACTCTATTTCTTCTTAGTAAAAGAAATGAAGCCAGAATTCAGTCTCAACTGAAATGTAAATGAGGCTTAGGAATGACACAGTAATACCACTTGGCATTTCTTAAGTTAGCCCTCTCTTTCTACACTGGATAAAAATAAAGAAAAGAAAGCCTCTAAAACAGAACCTCCCTATTACAACCCAAATTTGCCCATAAAAGCAAAATTTTTCTGACCTGCATCTATGCATTTTTTCCACTTTCTGTAGCCTCCCACACTGTAATGACTTATGCATGGGATTCGGGGTCTTTCTATTTTCTTCTGCGTGGAGAATGAAGGCCCACATGGAAAATGTGAATGCTGACCATTTTCAAAGATGATCACAGACCTCTGAGGGCACCAAATAATATCCAGAAAGGTATCTGGTCAGACTGAGGAACCAATTTCTAGTACATTCCTTAACTTCACTGGTCTTCACAGGATGGGAATATTTACCTTTCTGGCATGTGCTTAGAGCTTAGTCAGAATAGCTTGAAATTTCTGGTGAGGAGTCAGTTCTTTTCAATAGCCTGAAGTGACCCAAAACCAGCACAGCAGTTAATCTTGTTTACAACTGAAATCAGTAAGCCAATCCATGTTATGTGCTGAAAGTCCTAATGTGGAGTCAAAACTAGAAGTGTCTGCTTTTCGAATGGGATTTTTCTTTTACAGTCCATGAATTTGCTTTCATTACAGAACAACATTTTGTAAGGCTGAGTTTATGCTGGTATAATTTATTTCCTTTAACTAAGGGTTTGAATAATTCAAAGTAAAAAGTATGGATACCAAGAATGTGTTTATATTCTGACCTTATCTTATGCCTGGTTTTCTTGTTTACTTAAATTTTTATGACCAAATTCTAACAGAAGTATACAAACTAAACTCCATGCAAGCCAAAAAGACTGAAATTTCTGAAGAATTATCCCAATTGTCTTATCATTCTCACATCTTCCTTTTGGTTCCCCTGAATTCCTGCCTATGAAGTTTAGATTTTATACATACTGCAGATATGTGGAAGGAAGGGGTGGAGGTAGGATCTCATTGCACAGAGACAATGAAGTGTGTTGGCTATCTCATCCTGGCCTTAGAACCAGGGCCTAGTTTGACTACTGGCTTACTTCCTAGATGTATCTATAACCATGAACAAGTGATTGAATTTCTCTTAGCCTCAATAATGCTAGCTAGAGCCAGTAGTAGCAGGAATACTATGCATGTAAATGTATTTATCCTGAGGCATTGTAAATGGTATGTGCTATGCTTTCTTATCCATGAATTATGTGTTAATATGAGCTAAACTGGATTATTTCATGTTTCTTAGTCACTCCCTGGAGTGAATACATCCTGAGCGTTTGGGATCTGTATTAGCTCTTTCACACACTAATACATTACAAATGCTGTCTCTATAGCTCAAATTTTGCATGAACAGTTCCCTGGTGGCCTTTGTTGAAATTCAAACCAAACAGCAAATAGATTTCTGTCAAGACTTGTGTTCACAAAAGTAAACGAGGAAAGCATGTAAGCGAGCACAACAAGTTTCTTGCAGTGAATTTTATCAAGTATTGCAATCCCAATATTTTCTTACTGAAGTTTTCAATGTTCAATAGTTATATCTTTACTCATTAATAGATGGATCAATCCAGCTGCCTTTTAAAATACTGTCAAGGATTTTTTTATCATAAATATCCAATGTGAAATTTTCTTCTTATATCAAGCTGCTTCTTAAAGAAGTAATACTATTAAAGTTATTAAACAGAAATTTTACAAACTCTCTAATTTAATCTTTCTAGCATAGATTAAGGGCTCTCTTTTCCAAGTTACATTTTCATTTTAGAATCATGTCCTGAACTATATATATATTTTTAAATGTCTTAATAGGTGGTGAAATGAGAACACTCACTTTCTTCCTCAGTCAGCAAATTTGAAGTTCTTTCATCAAGTTCCATCTCCTTTTGTCTCACATGGAATGTATTTCTGTATCTGCTGTTAAACTACAATGACATGTCTGTAGCTATCAGGAAGACAAGCTGGGAAGAACATGTGACCCAATGGATGGGACAGCCTTTTAGTTCTGATGATCATAACACAGCATGTCATCATGGACTCGTAGCTGACAGCTTGCAGGCAAGTATGGAAAAAGATGCAACCCTAAATGCGGACCGCAAAGAGAAGTGTGTTTCACTGCCGGACTGCTGCCACGCATCAGAGCTGAGAGATTTTCCCGGGAGGCCAATGGGTCACGTTTCAAAGGAGGTGGATGAAAATGACAGCCAGGAAGGTGAAGATCAGTTTCTTTCTCTGGAAGCCAGCACGGAAACACTAGTGCACGTTTCTGATGAGGATACCGATTCTGATCTGTATCTTGCAGATGATAAACAGATTTTAACTTCCCAAGGGCAGGGAACCTCAGGCCAACATAGCGTCAAAGGAGCAGGCTCCTTCGTCGAGACGCTGCCTATCACGGAAACAAACCAGGATTCTTACAACTCCTGGGGAGTGGCTGGTGGAGCTGAATTAGCACTGGTAGAAGAAAGTGGGGAGAGGAAAGTTATTGACATTATAAGTAAAAGCCTGGAGCTTTGTAATGATATAAGCTTAAGTGAAATAAAAGATGCATCCCAAATACATGTATGTGAGTCGTTGAATGTGAACGATATTGTGCCTGAGAAGCAATTGCTTAATTCTGCTGTAATTGCTCAGCAACGAAGGAAACCCGACTTCCCTAAGGAGGAACATGAAAGAAACACCTGCTGTGTAGTACAAGATGAGTTTTTCGCTAGCCCTTGTGCAGACAGGGGACTGCCATTATCAAAAGCAGATCCTGGTGGCTGCCTTCTACAGCCTCCTTCCTGCCCTGGTGGAATGTCCGCTGAAAATGGCCTGCAGAAGAGTGGTTTCTCAGAACATCAAAACAAAAGTCTTCCAAAGGTCAGCTCTGGAGATGGCATGCAGTGTTTACACTTAAAGGAACCTCTGACCACCCAGGAACCCACAGATAATCAAGTCAGACTTCGCAAGAGAAAGGTAAGACACGTGCGCAGATTATCCAGCTTTTGGAATGTTGTAAATATCCTTGTTTCCATCACTTACTATTTTGGTAGCATGAAAGGGATATGTAGATGTTTCTTTTCCCCTATACTGTAGCTGTGTGACTCAAAGAGTATCTTCTTGGGGAAACCATCAAAATATATAAAAATTAAAATATAATAACCTATCCATTTGATTAATAATATGTATAATGGTTTATGAACAATCTATTCTGAGACTGTATTGAAGACAGAATTGGTTTCACTTTCTTCAATTGGAATTAAATAACATGAGAAAGCTCACTGTTCAAAGCCCATCTAAAGAGTAACCTCTATTTTTTTTAATTTAATAACATTTATTTGGGCTTGTTTCCTTTTCCCTATGAAAAGCATATTTTATCAAAGAAAAATGGTATAAAATACATATTAAAAATGACCCCTTTGCCAAAACCGGTTTGGCTCAGTGGATAGAGCGTCGGCCTGCGGACTGAAAGGTCCCGGGTTCGATTCCAGTCAAGGGCATGTACCTGGGTTGCGGGCACATCCCCAGTGGGGGATGTGCAGGAGGCAGCTGATCGATGTTTCTCTCTCATCGATGTTTCTAGCTCTCTATCTCTCTCCCTTCCTCTCTGTAAAAAATCAATAAAATATATTTAAAAAAAAAAAAAAATAAAAAAAAATAAAAATGACCCCTTTATATATATAAAGGCAACAGTACCCCTGCCCCCAAAATATGCTGATATTATTTTAAATGTTACCCTGGCACATTTGTTATCGATGGGCATTCAACTTTTCTTTAACTCTTGACCCCAAAGGTAATAACTGAAATTAATTATTTATGCCCAGGTCCCCTGACTAATCCTGTAGATGCCCTGCTCCCCTAAGTAGTTTCTGGGTGAGGGAAGCAAGGATTCAAGTGGGGCTACATGAAGCATGGGTTAGTTAGTGAACTCTTGAACAAAGTTTGCCTTGCTTTTAGGATTTTTCCAAAAATCATCCCACAATGTAGTGCTCTATAATCCTGATGTAAATATAAATACAATTTCTTCTATAAATCTAATGTGGCCATTGGCATTGCAAAACAATGCAGATTGGACACTTTCGTGTGACATCCTTGCCCCTCTTTCAATATAATAATAATCCATAATTGCAATTCTAACAAAGCTAATGTTCTCGGTTCTGTTCAACTGAGCTGTCTACAATGAGGACTAAAAAGCTCCCACTCTCTTTATGGTGAAGAAATCTGGTTTCCATAAACTGTGGTTTCGCTAACAAACTAGATCAGTGACATGTCATAAGTCAGTTTAAGTGAAGTCAAACACTTTACAGCAAAGATCACTGTGCTCCAGCTATCTGCCAGCAGATCATTCTGTGCTTCTGGCCAACTCTTCCTGCCTTATATAAGTTGTAACAAAATGCTAATGCTCCATGAAGTTGTTCAGATTGGAATGCTCAGCTCACCTTTTCGGAAATTTCCATATACCCCATCAAATCTGTTGGAGGGAATGCAATAATGACATAAGAAAGTATTAACCGACCTATGACATAGCTCCCCGAAAATAAGACAAACCCTGCCCAACTGCTGACAGAAACATTAAACATTCCAGAAACATATGCTCACCACTTGGACATTTATATCAATACTAAGAATGCTGGAAAGAATTTGCTCTTGGACATATCACTATAGCATGGTTGCATTATGAGAGCTGTAATTATATCCCATTTACAAGTTCTAACTTAAATACTCTATTTTAAGCATTTCATCATTCTGGAGTGCTATAGCATTATCTGGAGGAACATTTACTCTGACTCTACAACTCACTTGTGATGCCTGGTAATAAACAGTTTTAATAACAAAATTTTATGTTTGGAATTTACTCTGGAAAAGTATGGTTATAGGAGAAGCCTCTAGAATCAAAATGTGTAGGAATTTTTGTTCTATTTGATACTGTTGAGTTAAAATACCTTTGAATTGGCAACTGGCCATTTTAGAACTTTATCAAAAGAAATAATAGAACAATTTCATAAAAAATATATATGCACAAAGATGTTCATAACTGTATTGTGTATTAGTGACAAAAAAAGAAAAAAGCAACTTTCCACCTATAATGTTTAATTATTGCTTATAATGACATGTATATGCCATAGTTAATAATAAAATTTTATGTATAAACAAGGGTACAGTTTGGAGTGCTATGCAACCATTAAAAAGATGGAGTGAGATCCGTGTACACTAACTGAATGATGATGTTCATGGCATCGTATATCTGGAAAATGACAGTGGAAGAGCAATATGTGTAGCATATCTCAACCGTATATGAAAAAATGTGAGGATGCAGATATATAGATATAGATATAGGTATAGATATATAGATATAGGTGACATATAGATATAGGCATAGATTTGATATAATTATATGCATGGATATAAACTCTCTCTGACTAAACAGGAATACATCAAATCCTAGCTAAACAGGCACAGAATTGTTAATAGCAGTTACTTTAAGACAATAGAATCAAAAGGGTAGAAGCAGGGGATTTTCACTTTTTACCCTATATAACTTTTATAAAAGGTCATAGAATTATGGGTGAAATGCATATAACTAATGGAAGTACAAAAATATAATATTAGATATACAAACTACTTGAAGCATCTTTTAAGGGCACCAAAGAATCCTTTATCCAGCTCTCATGTGTACTATTACTTTTATGAAATGGGAAAAAATATTTAAAGTTTTTCAAAATATCAACAAGAGTTTCAATCAACTACTCAATCCTAATGCCATTGCATCAGTTTAAAACAGTAAGACTTTTGGAGAGACAGGCGAGCCACATTTTCATGCCTAAGGTATTAGGTGCCAGATTCGGAAAAGACTTTGCTCAATTGTCTCTATCATTTATACTACTTGTCCGCTATTGCTATGGTGACAGCTTTAAGATTAGAGCTTGGAAAGGAAATATAGAATTTGAGCTAATAACATTTTAGTTAGAGAACTTTAATCAGCTCATTATCTGATGGTCGTGTGAGTGAACCAAACCCTTCACTGAATTTATGAGCATGAGTTTTGGGGGGCTTTGCTTTTTTGGGGTCAGCATTCAATCAAGATTCTAAGACTTGAAAAAAAAACCTGAAAACAAAAACAGAGCTTAAAAGAGTGATCCTCAGAATGTACTGAAATTGCACTCAATTATCATTTCTTGAAACCTATAAATCTTGGCAGGCATTTATTGTACTATATGATATATTTTTTCTTGTTTTCCAATGATATTTTTTTTTTGCCATCAGGATAGCCACACATGTATTTTTTTTAGGAGATTCCATTGGAGAGGACTGCATTTGTAGTATATGTAAATATTAACCTTTTAAACTAACAATTCCCCTAAGTATGATGAAATATATCATTAAAGTGAAGCCACTGAAATCAAAGGAAAACCAAATAGATTATGAGCAGACAGTAGAAATGAGCCCTCCAGAAGGCTGAGTGGCATAGGACCAGAGCTTATAGGGTGTGGGTGGGTCTTTGGGGTAAGGCAGCTGGTTAAGAGCAATTCTCAGAGACAAATTCCAAAGCAATCTGGGGGAGGGAGACAGTCTAAGAAGTGGTCTCTGTAAACCAAATGAGATGTGAAGATGGAAAATATCTAGGGCAAGACTTGAGGTTAAACCTTTTTTAGAGAACTCGTGTATTTGTTCTTGATGGTGGTTTACTAATTAAAGAGAAGCCAGCATCCAGTCTTCTCTGGGGGCTATTTAAATAGTTCCCAAATTTTTGAATAACCATAATAGTTACACAAATGTATGAACAGATTTTCATTTGCTCACATAAAACATAATCCGTATCACAAAGCAAAATAAACTCCCAAAGAGAATGCAAACACGGTCTGAACTTTGAGGAGACACCTAATTGCACATTTGAACACAAACCTCATCTTCCAACAATGAACTAAATTGTATCATTTATGCTACAGATTTGCCTGCCATCACAGAAAACCAGCATAAAAGTGCCTTGAACATCTTTCTCTCATGTACACATAATAATTGTATATAAGCAGTTCTGGATCCAGGTGTAGGCTCTATGTTTCAAAACCCTCGACCAGGGGTGGGAAATGTCCAGCCCATGAACCATATAAGGCCTGTGAAATCATTTGGTCTGGCCCTGTCAAGGCATTAGGGGTGAGTTAATTAAAGGTTTGACCAAATACAGCAAGCTAATTTTTAAGTTGATAATTTGTATGGCCTGAGAATGATATCATATATCCAAATGGCCCTTGGTAGGAAAAAGGTTCCCCACCCCTGCCTTAGACCCCTTTTATCTAACTGCTCTGCCACCTTGAGCCCTTATTCATATTCAAGTCCATGGGAAGAAGAGTGGGGATGGCCACACTTCTGTGTGAATGCAGGCCCAGAAGGTGCACACTTTTTTTTTTCCAGAGAGGAAGGGAGGAGAGAGAGATAGAACCAACGATGATGTGAGAAGCATTGATTGGCTGGCTCCTGCACGCCCCCTACTGGAGATTGAGCCTGCAACCCAGGCATGTGCCCTAACCAGGAAGCATGTGCCCTGACCAGGAATTGAACCTCAACCTCCTGGTTCATAGGTCAATGTTCAGCCACTGAGCCATGCTCGCCGAGTGGTACATGTTTCTTTTCCCTTCATATTTCATGTGCTAGAACTTAGCTTCGTAGCCACACCCAGCACTCATGGCTCAGAAATGGAGGCTGCATTTTGGCCAGCAGCTGTCTGCTAAAGACTCTATTATAAAGGCAGAGATAACTCACCACATAAATATGTTAATGAACAATATCTCAACATAAATATATTCCAGTATATTGAGTTGTGCAAGGAATAAACAAGCTGCATATATGTTCTGTGGCATTCTGTACAAACACCTGGTGCTTTAATTTCACACTACAGAATACCTTTCCATATTAGGAAACTCTTTTGTTTGTTGAAGTGATAGTTATCAAATGCTACAATTTTTCTTGTGGAAAAATTG